CCAGCATCTGCAGTTCCTACTATCTCATGAACAGAATGTGTCTTGAGGTCAAAGTGCAGGTCACAAGAGGTCTTGCTGCCTCCTGAGTGGTGTGCTCTATGGACACCTTATAGAAGGGGTCCTCCCAATTACAATGCTACTTGTTTGTTCAGTGGGGGTGGATGAGGACAACAAATCTGGTGAGCCAAATCCTCCTTAAATGATGCCCAACTCTCCAAGGATGGCATTATGGGATGTTGTATTGGCTCCAAGGAAGCAATAATAAAATGTTTGATCTGATGTTGATGGCTGTTACCAAACTACCAGCTTCATGGAAAATGTTAAACAGAATCAACTTGTATTGTAAAATGGCAAATGGATTTTCATACTGGAGGCTGCAAGGAGAACCCAAATCTAATTTCTTTATTTTGCTGATAGTGACATATGTAGGCCAGTAAGAGCATCATGTCCTTCCAAGTCAAGATATTCCATTTGGACATTTAAAACAAAATGAAGTTAGAGGTCCAGATTTTGTCAACATTTGACAATGTTTCCTTGCACAGAAAACAACCATAAAAAAATCACTTCAAAAGAAGTGTTTAAAATTGCTTAAAAACCCATCTCCAAGGAAAAAGGATCAACCAAAAGAAACTTATGCAGAAATGAAAATTTATTAGAGCTGCAAAGACCAAATTGAATACAAACCTCAAAACAGCAAATAGTTTGTTACCGAGATCCCATTTGTTAATTGTTAAATAAGGAGCAGATTTCACTAGTGCAGAAGAAATTTACACTGGCCAACTTTCTATTATTTCGTATATAGAAAATATTCAAACCACTGAGAATGAAATCAAGCAGCTTTTCTCAACAAACTGAGGGTCCCCATTATTGACAAGAATTCCCCATTTTACAAAGTCATTGCAATAGAAACTGTAAAAAGATAAACACATTTGACCCCAAAATGATTAGTCTTGTCTCAATATAATACTGCACATTTCTTATAATCAATCATCCTGAAAAATACAATGCATGACTATTATAATCTGCAAACCAATAATTCAGTCACAAAAATAATTCTGCTCTTCCTACTTTGCATAGTTAAAGTCCAAAGTAACTACATCAAATATATCATACTATTTAGAAAAAAAAGCAACCAGCTGCACAGGGAGGAATCTTGGTTGCAAATAAATTGACATAGGCACTGTAACACTGAAAGATTTTTGGCACTTATTTCTATATAGGAAGAAATGACTCAGCACTAAATGGTAGCCCTTGGCAACAAAGGTTCAGTTAGAAACGAGAGCTCAAAAAAAGTCTGCATTAGTAACACCTCAAGTACTCCAGCCTAAAATGTCAAGCTGTAGGGTTTTAGCTGCAGTAGTTCAAATTGAAATCTTGACCTATAGAGAGCTGCAAAACTAGGTTTATTTTTTATAAATTTGCACATTTTCCCAAAATTAACACTTTCCACATGAAAAGTAGAATTGCAACAACCCAGGTGACTTGTTGTTTAACACCATCACCTCTACTTATTGTGCACTTTCAAATCCATCCAAACTTAGCAATTCCTTAAATTTAAAATTTTAGTGCAGTGTGCTCCAGTCAAAACAAGGTTATATAATTTTTCAAGCTACATATAATTCAATTAGAGGAACAGCCTCACTAATTTCAGACAAGGTGAACAGTACACAAGTCAAAAAAGACTATGCAAATTATACCAAACAAATAGGGATCTCCCTAACTATTATCCATCTTCAATTATATTGAATAAGAGTCAGTTTCACAAGAATTAGTTTCAGTGAGGCAGACAGGAGTTTGAAAGTTATGCCATCACAAAAATCAAGGTTTGTTTAACATTACTTGGCAATAAACACTGATTAAAAAAGGTGGTCTCGATTACCAAACAGGTTCTCAACATGTGAAAACCCAATCCACATACTAAACAAGATGAGCTAACGAGTTTCGTAGTAATGACTTTACTTAAAAGCAAAAGCCACATTTCCTTCCTAGGGAGGACTCTATTTGAATCAACGCCAACATCCTACCAAATGGCATCATTTTTATCCCATTTAAAGTTTTTTTATTAAATAGAATTTAGGACAGTGAAGGCTCTCACAAGATGGACCAACACAATATTACTTAACGAATGGTCCAAAAAAATAGTAGTCAATAAAGCAGTAGGCTTTGAGGGAATGAGAGTTGGTGTAATAAGAGACATTAATTCTGAACTTCATAACCAAAGACTACATTTATGCTATACAAGAACTGAAACAATTTAATACATCTTTGCTGATCTGAACAAGCTATATATTAATAAAAAGGGTTTCTCGGCAACTCCTAATGAAACCAAAATTCATTCCCATGTAGTGGCTTATGCAGGTCACAGGAAATGGGGATTTACATGGACTCAAATTCATCAATCCGCTGCTTGGTGTTGCCCTGTCGAATCTGCCTCAGGGTTTTGTACTTGTCACGTCCTGCCTTCATGTTCTCTGCATGTAGCATGTCATTCCGTGTTTTCTTGGTCTCATCTCGTGCCTGGGCCAGCTCAGATGTTAATGCCTATGGTAAAAGTAACATAAGCATTCAGTCAAAGAACATTGCTACAGATAGCGCAGTTTCCAGGAGGTTAAACTTCTAGCTGGATCAAAGTGCAAAATTTGAGACACTCCAGGACACTTCTGATCAACTTCACTAGGAAAAAAAAAGTGGTGAAAGAAACATGATCCATCTGCTATTGAAAGCAACTACATTTTAAAATTTGGATTTGTTCAAAAGTAGTGAAGTATTATATTTTATAATAAATAGCTTTTGAAAAGCAATTTAAATATTATTTGCCCTGACATTAGAATTGGGCAATGGCACTTTAGCTTTAAAAATACTATCCTAGATCTCCCTTCCTTTAGGGGGTGATCTTGATCTGGACATTTTACTGACCAGATCAACAAAAGGGCTGATCCAGGAATCCAAGCCAGAAGCAAGAAAATAATGTACTTTCAATCTCAACTCAGCTGCTTTTCCAACCTGTAATTAGGATACTGAAGCTTTAAGCACAAAAAGACTGAGCACATTTAAGATTTTCTTTTACATGTCTAATCCACAATTTGTATTCAGTCCACTGCCCCAGACGTGGCGAAGGGAAACGATAGTTCAATTGAACAAAGATTTAAAGAATCAGGGCTTGCAATCAGAAACAAAAACCACACTTTCCTGAGAAAGAGTGCAGCATTTGTTGTGAGCTTTGTGTTTCCAGCATTATATAGCATTGGTAAAACCAAAGTGGTGAACTTTAGATACCGTACATCAAGATTATATTGGCTTTGGGAATTGAATTGTAATTCACCAAAAGGACCCCTGGAATGAAGCAATGATGATTTAGTGAATATGGCCCACAAAGTACAAGTGGGTAATCTAATTGAGGGACCTCAAACAATAGGAATGGAGAAAGGCACAAATCTCTCATGGGGTACTTAAATAGTTTCAAAACTTTAAACCAATAGTAAGTCAATTATAGAGTAAAAGAAGAACCATACCTTCTGTACAAATACTGCACAACCTAAGCTGAGTCTACACATGCAAAGTCTAATGCATAATGAAATACTTTGAACAGCATGATTAAAGCAGCAGCACAGCAAAATAACTGACTGCTGTTCTTGAAGATTGCAGTTACTGGCACTGTCAGTCAATGGGAAAGTTTTAAAGACAAATAAACAAGAACATTCTTTCCACATGGCCAAAGCAGACAGGGTGTTCTGATACTGTACTGATGAGAAAGTGCTCCAAATCTCATCTAACAAGCAATACCTTCGTATCAGAAGATAGGGCAGAGGGAAAAACAAAAACAAGCTTTTGCTCTACCACTCAAGTTTAAAATAATAAAGCTCAATGTTTTATCCAACTGTACATAAGCTAGACTAGTGTACATACTTGTAGCTGCTTCTGTACACGTTGGTTTTTCTCTGCCTCAGTCAGCCTCTCTTCCTCACTGCGATCTTGAACAGTCCCCTCAGAGCTGAGTTCAGCACTAGCCTCTGCACTATTCTCATCATGCTCATCTGCATGCTCATTCTCAGCCTGCAGGATGGTCACTTGAATAGGTGGGGTTGTCGTAGCCTGTTTAAGTTCCTCTTTGGTCTTTTCCAGATCTTGCTGTGCTAAAGCAGCCTGTACAAAAAACATGACAGTAATTACTATCACTTCAGAACATTCCATTTAACCACGAACTTTGGTTTTCCCCAAATTGAAATATACATTTAACTAATGCAAATGAGAAGTTTTTTGATGGCATCAGAAAAGCAAAGTCTAAAGATGTGACTAAAAAAGGAGGAAAGCTTTAACACTGGTGGGTTTAAACTGCATGTTTTGGTATTGGTGTTGAGTGGCTTTGGCTTTGCAATAATAAAAGTTAAAGCAGAAACAAAAAAATTTTAAAAAAGGGTGCCGATACCTAGACTCTTCTCACAATGGGAATATTGTTTCCATACAGGCCTAGAGATTCAGGATTCAGCATAAACCCACTGCTGTATCGAGACCCTAATGTTTTTTTAAAAAAACGCCATCTTTGCAAATAGGGGAACTGCCAGATTCAAGAAATTGAACAGGTGATTCATAAAGTGTAATTGTTAGTCTGGATTGGATTATTTAGTTACAAATTAGAAGTACAAACTTGCTTACAGAACCTGCTCTCTACCACTCCACTGCTGTCCCCACCCCCAAAAAAAAAAACAAATCCAAGTCTGTTGGACAATATGTTGCTGTTTTATGCTTTGGAGTAAAAAGCAGTAGCTCAGGCAGTACTGTAATGCTGACAATAAACACTTGGAGACTGAGGGGGAATGGCAGGGGTGGGTACTGACACCAGTATAAGTTAACTGGTATTAATAAGTACTTATTGAAAATGCCAAGTAAAATAAAATGCTAATTCATGCCACAGTATGCTACAAATCAAGCATGACCGAGTGGGTATAGCAAGTAAAAACGCCCAGAATCCGTGGAACCCTTTCAACCTCCTCCGATGTACAAATCCCAGTCAGCCAACTTTCCTCCCCTATTCTAGGGTTGCACAGTATGCCCACTTCGGTTGTCGGTGCTTTTTAAAAAGAAAAAACAACTCTGCTGCACTCTTAATACTGGAGTCTCACCCAAAATTTCTAGTTTGAGATGGGAAGACAAAAAACCACAGACGTTGTGTTTATACACAATCTCAATTGTCACTTTATATACTCTTTCGCCTCAATTGGGATTGTAGCTTTAAAGTGAAGAGGAGTCACAAGATGTGTTCTGCTGTTTGTCCGATTGTAACAACCAACCAACCCACCCATCAGGCTTAGAGACTGAAGAAAAGAATTAGACTTTTACCAAGAAGAGAGCACAAGGTCTTTTCACTTAAAGACCATGTTAACATTTTTACCATGAGCTGACCCAGATTCTCCTACAGTCCCAGAAAAGTATTACAGATGCCAGGTTGTAAACAGTTATACAGTTACAGTCCATTTATTTCTAAGATGAAAGGGAGTTACCTGCACTGAAAAGGTTAACATGTTGTTTCACACTGTCATAGGGCAAACAGGCAAACGGTATAGAGATCTGAGAAAAAAAAAAAAAGTGTGGAGCTGGAGGAACACAGCAGGCCAGGCAACTTTCCTGCTTATTTCAGGTCAGGACCCTTCAACTTTCCTGCTCCTCTGATGCTGCCTGGCCTGCTTGCTCCTCCAGCTCCACTTATCCAACTCCAGCATCAGCAGTTCTTACTGCAAGGGAGGTACTAAGATCTGGTTAGCTACAGCCCAAGGGCCACAATGGTTTAAGTGGCTCACCAGCACTTTTCAAAAAGGCAGGATGGGCAACAAACTCTGGTTTAGCCAGGGACTTCGCTTACAAGATAGAAAAAGATGGAGGTGGAGGGGAAAAAACCAAACTACTCAACACTGGCAATAGCCTATATATGGACATCTCAACAGGATGGGATTTGACAAGGCTGCAACACCTTCCATGGTCAGCCAGTGCCCATCATTTTCAATCAGGAAGGACTGTATTTGGGCATCTACTACAGGCTCACATGGCAACTGCATCTCAACTTTCTGCAGGGAAAGAGAGACAGGAAAAAAACAAGTACCTACAATACTCTAATACCTCACTGTAATAGAGCCTTACCTTCCGCTGCCACTCAGAGGCCTCCTCTTCTTTCTTCTTCTTAGTTTCCTCTAATAGACTGATTTGAGAAGTGAGTGTTGCAAGTTCAGAGGCCTAAAAAAAGGGTAAAAGTCATCATGGGGTTACTTTCTCATTACTTCTTTGAAAGTAGAAGGCATAAATGTAAACCAAACTGCTTTAGTTTCATACAAAACAAAAAACCAATAAATTAATGGTATGTGATATTAATAGTTTTTGGTGATCTAGAAAGTAAATTCATATAGGGATAGAATTACTGCACTGGGCTCAAACAGCAAATGGGACCCAAACAACTTGGAGAAAAGAGCATTTTGCCTGGAGTTTGAACACTCCCATGCATACTAAAAGTCTGAGAGCTGAAAGTCTGCACTGTAGATCATAATTGTATCTTGCTTCAAATATTCCTTTAGAGACTTAAACTGGTAACTGAGAACAACTTTACAGCTGACAAAAAAAAAAGGAGTTATCCCAAAAATTTTAAAATCAGTGCCTAGTCCAGCACTCCTGGCTAATCAAGTGTTAAATATTGTTACTCAAAAATTGAGGTTTTACACCTTAAACTTGCCTTCTAAGACTTGAAGAAATGCATGTGCTAAAATATATAGTGATTAATTCAATCTGAGATATGGGCAACTATCAGCATAAATATATTTTTCACCAGTGCACAGGATCACAAGCTCCATTTGCACTTAAAATTGTCATTTTCAGCTGGTTTTGGGGAACTGCTCAGGAAGAGTCCCAGCTCAATCTCCCTGAAGATCCAGGCCACAAGTTCATTTTTGTAAAAATGTTGATATCAATATTTAACAATAAAACATTAACAAACACTAAATTAGCAGTCTTGCACAGGCAGTCACAGAATGACTGGTTGACTAAAGTGAAAAATGTCACCAAGGTCAGTAGTGAATGTACTTCTGGAGATAGAGACTAAGCTACATGTTAGGGCAAAGTAGAAAACACATTCAGCATTTAATTATGCTACACCTATCCTGGTGCGTGTTAGCACTGGGTACCCAAAATGACACATTCCAGCCCACAGCTAAAGCAATTTTCACCTTGTTTTGGACAGCGTCACAGCAAAATATTAAATTGAGATCAAAGTATAATGTTAATACAAAATTCAGTGTAATAAAGCAGCACACAATTTAATTTACAAGTAGTCTAAAGTACGGTTGAAGAACTATACAGGATGTGGAGGCGGCTTTGGAGAGGGTGCAGCAGAGGTTTACCAAGATGCTGCTTGGATTAGATGGTGCAAATTATTAGGAGACTAGAAAAACTCAGGTTCTCTTCTCTGGAGCAGCAGAGACTGAAGGGAGACTTGAAAGAAATCTATGAAAATTGAAATACATAGATAGGGTTGACAGTCAGAATTTTCCCCATGGAGTTGAAGTGTCTAATATTAAAAAGGGGTATACATTCAGTGAGAGGGGGAAGTTCAAAGAGATGTGAGAAGCAAGTTTTTTTTTTTGTTTTTTTTTAAAAAAAAGTGGTAGAAGAGTGGAATGTGCTGCCAGGGGTGGTGAAGGCAGATATGATAGGCATGTTCAAGGGACTTTCAGATAAGCACATGGATGTGCAAGGTGGGAGGGATATGACCCAGGGCAGGCAGAAGCAATTAGTTTAATTTAGCATCATGTTCAGCACACTGTGGTCCAAAGGGCCTGTTCCTGTGCTGTACTGTTCTGTGTTCCATGTTCCAGCTAGTTCAAAATTGTCACATTAAAAAGGATGTAGGATTGGCCCTCAATTGTCATCTGGAAGCACTAGTACATTTGGCTTGTGGTCTTGAATTAGGATAGTAACATCTGTGCACAAATTCTCCATGTTGTATTCTTCAGACTACCACCTTCATCCTGTTTTCTGTTAGCCATGTTAGCAAGTTGTGCAAGCAAAAGTTTCAGATATCTTCTTTCATGGAAGAATGTTACATCATATACCAGGAGGCAAATTTCCCAGATTTTAAATTCAAGTTGAAAAAAGGTCAAAAAAAGTTCAAGACTCAGTACCACAGGTGTCTAACTCCACCCACTTTAACCTCTAAGCGCACCAAGATTCCTCAAAGGGGACAAAACAGAAGTTACTGGAAATGCTCAGCAGGTCTGGCAGCATCTGTCAAGAATTAAAAAACAAAAAAGTTAACATTTCAGGTCCAGTAACCCTTCCTCACTGGACCCAAAAACATTTGATTTTTTTCTTCCTGACAGATGCTGCCAGACCTGAACTTTTCCAGCAACTTCCATTTTCATTCCTGATTTACAGCATCCAGTGCTTTCAGTTTCTCACAGGATGCATTTCATCTGCAACAAGATAAAACACCAACGTTTGCTTACATCAAACAGGAAATGGTGTTCCCACCTCACTAACAAATGCAGGGTCAGTTGAAATGAGAGATAAAGGGTGAAAGCCTTACATGGGCCCAACCCCACCACAACATTACAAATATTGCTGCCTCAGAAGTAGATAAGCAACAGGTCAAAAAAATGGATCAGCGCTGTTCACGTGATATTACTTTTTTTTGGCGAGAATCCAAAATCTTAAGCTGTTGAACTGAAATTCTTCTTTACCAATACTGATAAAGAAAGAAATGTGTATTAAGTTTGTTCAAATTTTTGGTGTCAGTGATACTTACCAGATTCTCTTGATTTTTCATTTGATTTTGGGACTGTTCAATTAAAGCAGCCTTGGTCTCCTCTGCAACCCTGCGCTCTTGTTCCAGTCGTTCAGCCTCCTCCTGAGCTGCTTTCCTCTCTTGTTCCAGCTCCAGTGCTTTGCGAGTTTGTTCTTCCAGTTCTGGAAGACAACATGGAAGATTCTTACTACAATACATGGTGTAGTCTACATTAGAGTTCTTGTGTATGGCACATTCTGCTCAAGTTTATTTATTGTAAATAATCTTTTCCACTTTTAAAAATAAGTGACTCAAGCAGTATAAACACCTTGCATAGTTGCATACCAATGGTCATTTGGTGGTACCCTTGCTAACCTTCTGGTTTTCTTTGTGGGCCACAAGACAGCAATAAAAACTGCACACATTTGCAACAATGGTTCCATTCCCCTGCTGATCCATCTTATCAATCATTGTCATTTGTTCATGGGAATGGGGTACCAGAAACATAGAACATAGGAGTAGACCAATTGTCCCTTTGAGCCTGCACCAAAGCTGGGCCAGCAGTTTTGTCCCCAAGCTTAACTGTCCTGGAGAAGTTAGTGATCAGTCTTCTTGACCCACACTGCATATCGCACTGAGGTGTTTTTAGTAAGAGCACTCCAGGATTTAGGGTGAGCAGCAGCAAAGGAGTGACAATACTGTTCCAAGTCAGGACAGTGTGCAACTTGCAGGTGTTAATGTTCTAGGCATCTGCTGTCTTGCCTTCTAAGTAGGAATTGCAGATATGGAGAGTACTATTGAAAGAGCCTGAATTATTGCAGTGCATGTTTAGAATGGTGCTTACTGCTGCAACTATTAGTGGTAGAAGGAATGAATGTTGAAAGTGAAGTACTGATCAAACAGACTGTTGTTTCGGATGGTGTCAAGCTGGAGTGCTGAGACAGATGAACTTCTCCAGTCACATGGAGACCAGTCCGTCATACTTTGAATGTATGCCTTGTACAAGGTGAACAAACTTTGGGGAATTACTCACCACAGCATTCCTAGTCTAACCTGCTCCTGCAGTCAGTATTTACATGGTTGGTCCAATTTAGTCTGGTCAGTGATAACACTTGGAATGTTGATAGTAGTCACTTCAGCAATTCATTAGATGACAGTAGCAGATAGCAAGACTCTGCCTTTGAGATGTTCATACCACAAGAGTGTCAAGCAGTGCTACTTGTCACATGACAATCCAAGCCTGAGTTTTGTCCAGGTCTACGGATTGCTTTAGCATGAGGAATTGTAAGTGCTGAACATTTGTACAGTTAGCTGCAAACATTTCCAATTATGACCCTCTGACAGAGGAAAGGTCAATGAAGGAGTCAATGATGGTTGGGCCCAAGATACTACCGAGTCACCCCTGCAGTGAGGTTCTAGAACGGAGGTGACTGATGTCCATCCTCACCTGGGTAAGGTACAATTCCAGCAGGAAGCTCTGCCCAGCTTCCCATTAACTTCAGTTTTAGTTCTGCTCTGATTCCCCAGAGCCAAACACTGCTGCAATGTCAAGGGACTCACCTCCCTCCTGGGGTTTAGCTCTTTTGTCACTGTTTGAACAAAGGCTGTAAACATGGTCCACAGCTGATTTGCCCTGGTGAAATCCAGACTGTACATCACCAAGCAGGTTACTGCTAAGCAAATGCTGTTTGATAGCAATAAAAATCAAGTCCTTCCATCTCTTTCCTGATGGAGACAGTACTTGGCATGGGTCAGATCTGTCCTGTACTGGTCAAGACATACCTGGGCAATTTTCTACATTGCAGCTACATTGTATTAGCTTGACTAGGAGGCGCAGCTAGTTCTTACTTAACTCCAACATAATTCCTGGAAAACTGGTAACTGCACTGGCTGTGGACCACACTAATGTCTTCATGTGATATTAAAAAAAGTGAATAAGTGGAACTGGTCATAAAAAAATAGTATCTGTAATGCTAGGGACCTCAATTGTGCAGGCAGATCACCCACTTAGCACTTCTGGGGGAGGGTGGACGCAAATCATTCAAGTTTGGTCTCTTGCCTGGATGTGCTGGGAACGTCTATCACTGGAGATGCAGAACACTGACTTCCTAATGGTTGTTTAAATTGTCCACCATCTTGAACGACTAATGGTACAATTGCAGAACTTGGATCAGATCCAATGGTTGTGGGAAAATTTGGCCCTGTTAACTGCACAAACATAATAAAATGGTATAGTCCTCTGTAGTAGGTGGACACCTCATTTTCAGGCATGCCTGATACTGCTATTGGCATGCTCTCTGCAGTCTTCATGGAGCCAGGTTTGACTGCAATTGACAGTAGATGGTACAGTGGAGGACAGACAAGATCACAAGGACCCTATCATTGAGGGAATACTTGGTAGAATCTCCACCTCAAAAGAACCTTGTGTATGCCCAGTTTTGAATTAAATCCATCCCAGTTCACAAAGTAATAGCACTACACAAAGAAGACAGAGTCTCAATAAAGAACAAAAACAGAAGTTACTGGAACGCTCAGCAGGTCTGGCAGCATCTATGAAGGGGGTGGGAAAAACCCAACAAAAACAAAGAATCAGTTAACGTTTCGGGTCCAGTGACCCTTCCTCAGAACCCGAGGACCTCAGGTTCTGAGGAAGGGTCACCGGACCTGAAATGTTAAGTCTGTTTTCTCCTCCACAGATGCTGCCAGACCTGCTGAGCTTTTCCAGCAACTTTGTTTTTGTTCCTGATTTACAGCATCCGCAGTTCTTGGTTTTTATTTGACTAGAAGTGGACTGCCTCTTTTCCCTCCTTCCTCAGGAGGGATTTCAACAACTTGTCTTAACCATCAACAGCAGATTCCTGTTCAGTGTATTAGAGGCAGGAGGTGTTGGATGCATATCTGATGATCACTTCAAAAATTCCTCTGGCTGTTCAAGTTTCAAACCATCCCCAAATTACAGTAGTAAGTTATGGGACTGTTGGAAGAGGATTTGGGATATGCTTGATAAATCAGTCTTGTTTATAAAGCATAAAGATGCCCATGTTAGGATGCTTATATTCCATGAATTTAGGCATTACTGAAGAATGAGTTGGTCTCAAAATAGGAATAATTACTTTGTCCCTCAATCCAATCCTCCAGTCACAAAAGAAAAACTACCACTGGAAGCACATCTTCCACTCAGACCAATTTGCTCATTATCAATTACCTTTTTGAGCTTTTTCAGTCTGTTCTTCAACCCGTTTCAGTCTCTCCATCAATTCATCCTTTTCACGCTCTATATTCTGTCTTTCTTTCTCTGCTTGCTCTCTCTTCTTTCTCTCATTTTCCAACTGCGCTCTAGAGACAAAGAATGCTTTGAGGATTGGAAAGTTATAAAAGCTGAACATCAAGCTTAGTTTATAAAAAGGCAGTAAATTATGTATTCTTTTCCCAATTAAAGTACTGTAGAGAGCATCTGAAATGCATTAATATATTCTAAGAGCATCTAGTACCTTGAGGGAAATCTAACAGCCATTTCAAATAATTGACATTCATCAAAACATTCAGGTGAAGGAGGAACAACAGCCACAATAAAAAAGTCTTGCTCCTCTGATTATGCCTTTTTTTGAGGAGAAAATTAAAAAAAAAAAGAGAGCAGCACTTGAATAAGTTCAATGCTCCAGATATTCTTTTACTAGAAACTCAGGCCAAATGTCCACATCCATAAGCAATACTACATTTCCTGAACTAATGTGATGTGTTAAGTGACTTGGGACAACAAGGTAAACAATTGATCTCTTTACCAAGTTAGATAAATACAGAAAATAGAATGGATAAACAAGAAAAAGCTTCTAGTCGTTACGAAACACCCATTACCATGCTCAAGAATCTCTGCATTGTAGTCAAGGAATTTGTAAGTGTCAAGTTGCATTACACATACATCAATATTTGACAATCTTGTGGAGGGTGCTAAATGTGAGCATTTTGCATAAGGAGTCAGGACAAAAAAAAAGAATTTGGCATCATTTTTAAATCCCACTTCGAAGTTTAAGTTGAAACCCACTGTCACTGCAGCTCAAAAAAGTACTCCTGACCTTTCCATTTGTTTCTGATGCTTCTCTTCTCTTGCTTGAGCCTTCATCTGCTGGACTTCAATGGTATCTGGCTTACGTCGGCGCATATAGAGTTCATGGTTTCCCATGCACAATGCTAGGATACGCTTGTTAATGCGGAGACGAGGCGCATAGAATATGAAATCCTATGGCAAGAAAAGAGAACTTGGCATAACATTTTCATATTTGAAATTAATGCATTAGAAATTCTAACTGCTTCATGCAGGTTTGGCACTAGAACAAGTCTACATCATTTGCTTTTTCTCCATTTTATCATGTTGCTTCTCAGCTAGAAAAAGAACTGTATAAACAAAAGCTAAGGATTCACCATATTAACTGTTGCCAGTGACCTATATTCAGAGCCAAACACTAGGGTGGATGTCAACCAAGAGCAGCCTATCAAGATTAAGCAACCATAATGCTAAAAAAGTAATTACATTAGATTGATGAGCATCTTCAGAGATAAGTCAACACAACATAAATATAGATAATTATTTAAAAGCAACAGGGAATTCCTGAACCAGAAGCCCAAAAAACATTTGGCATTTGAAGAATCCACCTTCTATAAAAGGGCAGATTAACTACTTCAATTCTGAATCCTGGTCAAAACCAGGTTCAAATGTGTCATGTAACTAAGGTGAACCTATTATTGACTGGCACAACTAATTGTTGGAAGAGCTCAGCAGGTCTGGCAGCATCTGTGAAGAGAAAAATCAGTTAATGTTTTGGTGAAGTTTGAGGAAGGGTAACTACAACCCAACGTGTTAATTCTGGTTTCTCTCCACAGATGCTGCCAGACCTGCTGAGCTTTTCCAACAATTTCTGTTTTTGTTTCTGGTTTACAGCATCCAGAGTCCTTTTTGTTTCCATTATCTACTGGCTTAGTTAATGAACAAGTGCACTTCCATTCTTGGGTGTTCAAGGTATTGAAGTTATATTATCAAAATTAAGATGCTCAAACCCTCAGAAGTCACATCAATCTACAGTCTGCTGCAGAGGGTAGAACTAAATTACGAGAAGTAATTGTTGCCAGGAAACAAACTGGATGCTGTAAACTGAAGGCAGCAGATTAATAGCCAAGTGACAATTAACTGATCTTCTCAATCCAAATATATTGTGATGAGATATTTGTGGGTAGCTGCATTATGCCTTTTGTACTTACTGGTGCTTTTTTATCGATTGGTTTGATGATAAACTTCTTATCATTAAATGATATGTTTCGGATTTCACTCCATGGGAATCCAATCTTTGGTGTCAACCTTAAAGAGCAGACATATTCAAGTTCAACATTCACATGGGTACACGCACTTGCCACTAAACATACTGCATCCAAAAACTGGCTTTAGCTAGAAGAAAATTTTTCTATCCATTTTAGTTTGCAACCAACTATTTCTGCACTGTAAATGTAGTAGCTTCCTGGTGATTAACTCTGCCCTCCATACAAGTTGTTCAGAGATTCAGGCTAAATTTCTGGTTTATGACAAATTAGGAAATTCAGTCAAGGCAGCAATTAGATCTTAAATTTGTCCCCAAATACTCAGGAATTGGAACAGTGGTGGAATGAGAAAGAGGGAACAATAAAAATTATCAGGCAAGAAACCCTGCTGTGAAATATTCAGAAAACCACTTGTCTAAACCATTATCTAATTGATGTGACTGGTCAGCAATACTATGTCAAGACTGTTTAAACCGATTCCAATTTGAACATATTATGTTAATATATAGGAGAAACATTACCTTAATGGGTTAAAAATGCCCCTTTTTATATAAAAACTTTGCCCCAATTGCAAAACTTCTGACATAACCCAACAAAAAAGTTAGAAGCTAAACTATGAGCAACACGTGCTGAAAACATGATCTTATGCAACAAGGCACAAGCACATTAGAATGTTTGGATAATGCTCATTAAATATGAGCCCTGTTGTAAACACATGGACTATTTTTGTTAATCTGGATGTGTTATTCTGTGTAAATCTGCTGGGGTTTCCATTAAACTGTTAGCCCCTTACTAATTAAGAACAGTCAACAACATGCAGATATCTAGTTAAATGATTAGTGGCTAAGTTTGCATCCCCAGGAATCAGTGTGACGGCTAAAGGAGCAAAGTCACTCATTACCTTTCATTTATCAAATTGTTTATCCTACAGAAAACATCCTCCATGCTAGAATTTACCTGTCATCATGTTCATATATGTTCAGCCCAAGAGCATCAACACCAAGCCACAGCTCAGAGCCTTTTTTGTTTTTGATGCTGAAGTAGTTAACACCATACATTTCAAGATCTTGAGCAAT